ACCCCATAGTCTGACTTTGCCTGTGAATCTCGAAGTAAGCTGCCTCACCCCTCTGGTCCTCAGAGTCATCCCCTGGGAATTGAGGATAAGCATTCAAAGGCCTTCTCCTTTGCGCCCATCCCTGCCCACTCAAGTAAACCCTACCCGCTTTCAGCCAAATCATACCTGGGCATTCTGAGCCTCCCCCAGGGGCCACCATCTCCCCATCCCACCATGATTGCATCTTTGTCTGGTTCTGCTGTCGCCAAGGGCCTGTCACGCTCTGAAGAATAGCCCTGCAGGGATCTGGTACCACAGACAACCTCCCGGTACCACAGACCTGCAGCCAAGGCCTAACTCCTCCTGACCTGGAGTTTGGGGGCTGGGGTATGAGGAGTGGAAGGAGGGAAACTGGCCAGACTGGTTTCTCCAAATTTGTAGGCTTCCCTCTGTCCTTGTGTGGATTGATCCCTCCGGGTCTAACCTATACCATGAGCCACCTACATACTAAGCAGCTTTGTCCCAGTCCCTGTTCTAGAACCTTGGTGACAAAGTGGTGAACAAAGCAGGAAAAATGGGGCTGGCATTTTAGTAAGCCCAATGATAGGAGGGGAATACGTCACTTGCCCAGGGGTGACAAATCCTATAGAACAAATGTATAAGCAGAAAAGGGGGAGTGAAATGTTGGGAGCAGTGACATCTTAGACGGGGGCAGTTAAGGCCTCGCAGGTGACGTTTGAGCAGAGACCTGAAGGGCATAAAGATATTTGAGGAACCATTAGTCCAGACTAGGGACACAGCAAGTGCAAAGGCCCTGAGGTGGGAGTGTGCCTGGGATGTCTTTGGAACAGCGAGGAGGCTTGTGGGTTGGAGCAGAAAAGGGAGAGTAGGAGACGTTTCTGGGTTCCAGAACTAGATTCTTAAAATTCCGGGGGCCAGCCGTGGGTTGGCACTGTAACAGTTGGCAACAGTAACAAGGCAAAAACAACTTATTGAGCCCTGTCACGTCCTGGATATTTTCCTCACATGCCCCCGTGTCATCCTCACTGCAGTTGCCTGAGGAGCCCCTTGGCATGAATTCCATTTACAGGAGAGGGAACTGAGACACACACACACACACACACACACACCCATGGCCTCCTCATCGAGAAGAGCATGTTCTTCCTGCACTTGCCTTGCCTGGACTGGGCTTGCCCCTGCCCGTTCCGGAGGGGACGTTGGCTAGGCCACGGATGCCGTCCACCTTAACAGCATTTCCTGAGGCTTAGCAAGGAATAGCTCCCTGCCCGTGGTCACACCGCCAGTGGGCCTCGGGGCCAGAACCGGAACACTCACTGGTAGAGGACATTCTAGGTTCCGTGTTCCTAGTCTCTCTGGAAGTGAGCCAGCCCCAGGTGGGCGTGCAGGAGCGGAGCCAGTGCGGGTCAGCAGAGCAGAGAGAGTGGGTGCTGTCTGGGCAGAGGGCTGTGAGTCATCTGATTAGCACGATGTGGGGTGGAGGAAACGGTGAGGGATGAGGCAGCCTCAGCCCAATCCCATGGGCCCCGAGTGCCCAGCCAAGGAGTTGGGGCCTGGGCCTGCAGGCCGGGAGCCAGAGCGTCCCACAGCCTGCTCCCCTCTGGATTTCAGTATCGCAGCAGCAGCTGTCCTGTGCCAGGTGGCAGGATTTGTGAAAGGCCTGGCGGGCTTGGCAGGCTTCCCCTGGCCTCATGGGCGAGCCAGGAGGTGAGGCAGGTGCCAGCTGACGCCTGCCTCTGTGTACGGCCCTTCTCAGGTGCCCCAGGGGTGGATTCTAAGGGCTCTCTAGAGTCAGCTGTTTATCTCCCCACTGGCTAACTGCAGGTGCCCCCTGCCCTGGGAGGCACAGGGCCTCTTAGCACGGGGTTACAGGAAAGGTAGAGGGCGTTGGGAGCACTGAGCGGAGGTCCTGGCCTGTAGTCCCAGAGCTGAGCCTGGGTTCAGTCCCCCACGTGGGCCTGACCAAAGCCAGGGGACAGAGGCATGGGGCCCCTTCCCTGGCCAGGCCTGGTCCTTGCCACACTCTGGGCCAAGCTTTCTCTCTGCCTCCCTCAGTCTTGTTCTTTTCACATTTCTTTGTCTCTCCTTCCCTCTGGCCATGCTGTTTCTCTTTTATTCTCTGTGTCCCGATAATCTGTGCCTGTATCTGTTTTTCTCTTTCTTCTATCTGTTTCTCATCTCTGTCTCTTGCTTCCTATTCTCTCTTGCATCATTCTCTTCCCCCCACCCCCACCCCTCTCTCTTTCTCTCTCTCCCCTGCCTTCTCCCTCCCTCCTGTCCACACTTTCCTGAGGCCCAGGGTCTCCTTGTGGCCAAAGGCCGTCAGAAGGGCAAGTTGTTCAGAGCTTGTCTGACTGAATTACAAGATTTGGGCCTGACGCCAGGACTCTTGCTGCAGCCTGCCCCAGGAAAGCAGAGATGGCCGAGGCCTGCCTCCTGCCCTCCCCTGCACCTGCCAGCCCAGATTATGGGCCTGGCCAGGCCAGGGGTGGCTCAAGAAAACAAGGCCCAGCGCTCCGCCAGAGGCAGCCCGAGCGCTTGTGTCTGGAGCAAAGCCCTTCCCCTCCTTGGGCTCCAGTCCACCAATCTGTAAAGTGACAGCGTGTAAACCACTTGACCATGCAGGCCCTGTCAGACGGACTCTCAAGTGACTCTGAGTAAGTCACTTCACCTCTCCATTTCTCCCTCTGAAGGATGGAGCAAAGGTCTACAGAGTATGGTGAGGGCTGGCTGAGGTTACTGCTGGCATTGTACCTGGCATGAAGGCCATTTATTATTGTAGATGGGTTGTTGTTTTTTTATGGATCTAAGTTGAAGCCTTGATCTATAGAAGGACCCAGATTCCAGAGGCCAAGGAGCATTTAGACAGGAAAATATTCAGATTCCGGGACATTCTCCATGGCAGGGGGGGAGAGCTGGGCAACCTTTGGAATCAGGACAGGCCCAGACATTCAGGCTGTCATCAGGGGCCTGGCCAGGACTGCCACCAGGGAAAGCCACCCAATATGAGGCTACCCCCAGGGGAGGGACCAGGGTGAACTGGGAGCTCTTGTCCCCTTCTGATGGGGCAACCACTGCTGCTGGGCCCCAGGGTGCCAGAGTCCTCTGTTCTCCAGGGAACCAGGGAATGGGAATTTCATGGGATTTTTGTGTATGTGTGTGTGTGTGTGTATATATATATATATATATATATATATATATATATATATATATTTTTTTTTTTTTTTTTTTTTTTTTTTTTTTTTTTTTTAACTGAGAGCAAGCAGGCGTCTTCAAACTGCGGCCCGCGGGCCACATGCGGCCCGCAGAGGAGTCTGATCCGGCCCGCCAGGTTTTTTGGGCAGTGAGCGCAGCCGAGGTGTTACAGTAGGAATTAGTAGTTCATATAGTCCGGCCCTCCAGCTCTCTGAGGGACCGTGATCTGGCCCCCACTTTAAAAAGTTTGAGGACCCCTGTTAGAGGGAGTGGGTCCGTGGCATCTCTGATGTGGGCTAAAGCTGGCACCCCAGCTGTGATAGGCCTCCGTGGTTTCATCCATTGTTGCTGTTATTGTCATTTTAGCTCAAAAACTCAGATGACCAGAGGGGCCTGGCCAATACTGTTGCCAGGCTGGGCAGGGAGCAGACAGGTTGGCATTGTGGAATCACTGGGCCCGCCCCCAGCTGAGCCCCTCCTCAGGCTTCCTGCTTCTGATCCCCAGGCCTTGGCCACAAAGAGGAACCAGGTGGGGAAGGCCCTGCTGGGCCAGATCATAGTGTCCTTAGCTGGGGCTGCTGCGGTGGCAGGCCGCATGACCCAGAGAAAACAGCCCCTGACCAAGAAGCAGGAAGCAAGGGGTTCTAGGCCAGTGGTCGGCAAACTCACTAGTCAACAGAGCCAAATATCGGCGGTACGACGATTGAAATTTCTTTGGAGAGCCAGATTTTTTAAACTTAAACTTCTTCTAATGCCACTTCTTCAAAATAGACTCGCCCAGGCCGTGGCATTTTGTGGAAGAGTCACACTCAAGGGGCCCGAGAGCCGCATGTGGCTCGCGAGCCGCGGTTTGCCGACCACGGCCCTAGACTCTCTTCTGCTGCTGCATGCACCCTGTTGCTATTTCTGGACCTCGCTGTGCTCATCTGTATGAGAAGGGGCACCGTCCTTCCCCTCTCTGAAGCCTGGTCTCTTCACAGGGCACGGAGCGGGCAGCTCCTCCCCTCCGACTCAGGGAGCAGCTCGCTGTCGTAGGATCTGGACAAGGCCCTTTCTCTCTCTCTGAACCTGCCAGGAACAAAGAATGCTTCCTTCCCAAGCAGCTTTGGGGAGGGGAGCCCAAAGACAAAGCCTGGCAGTTTTTCCTTTAGGATTATCATGGTGGGCTTTTATGCCACAAGCATTTATTGAGCACCACCTGTGTGCCAGGGTCCTGGTAAACACAGCAGACAGGCCACCTGAGTTCACGTTTGGACACACAGTGACAGTCCCACTATGTTGGGGGAGCCCTGGGGTCAGAGGAGGAATCATGGATGGCTTCCTAGAGACAGGGGTTCCAGGTTGAGATTTTTTTTTTTTTAATATATTTTATTGATTTTTTTTTTTTTTTTTTTTTTACACAAAGGAAGGGAGAGGGAGAGAGCATTAGAAACCTCAACGAGAGAGAAACATCCATCAGCTGCCTCCTGCACACCCCCTATTGGGCATGTGCCCGCAACCAAGGTTCATGCCCTTGACTGGAATCGAACCTGGGACCCTAGAGTTCGCAGGCCAAACCTGTTAGGGCCCAAGTGGAGATTTTTAAGGGCCTGGTGTAGGGGGGCGAAGGGAACAGCACATCCAAAGCACTAAAGAGAGGAGAGGACGGATACAGGAGAAACTTTCTGTGCCTTGGCCCCTTTGATGGCCAATCACTCACTGCCTGGTCTATTGTCTAAGGTGATTCTGTCCCAGAATGTGGTCAGGGCCATGGCAGGAGCAGCCAGGGACAACAGGACAAGGTCTCAGGAGCCAGATCCTCTGGCCACAGGATCCTGGTCTGAAGCTGACTAGCTGGGTAGTTTTGAGTTACTTCCTTGGGACCTCTCTGACCCTCAGACTTCTCATCTGCAAAGTAGCATCACCTCAGCGGGTACCTGGCACATAGTAACTGCCTAGTGGATGTTGAATCGTTATCATGAAGAATCTTCCACGCCCTGAGACCTGCTGCTGGGAAAGCAGTATTCTCAGAGGCCCTGTCACAAATTCTGTGTCACCCACATGCTATTTTTATTTCCTATTACTTGTTAAATTTTTTATTTAAAATGACAAGAAAAGACTTTTGATAGTACTTCACAAATTTTAAAATCAAAAAGAAGTGAAAAGCTAGTCTTAACTGTAGTTTTTGTTTTTGATTAAATGACTCCTATTTGTGCTTCCTGGCGTGTCCTGGATATACTAATATGTGCACAGCCCGGCTTTTTTCTGGCTGCAGAGATGCTGTGGGCCAGGTTAATTTGGCTGGTCCCTCAGGCCATGGACACTTAGGTTATTTCCAATGATTTGGCACCTCAAACAAAGCTGCAGTAAGGAAACCAGCTTGTCCAAGCTCATGTGCCTATTAAAAATATGTGGCAACATTTTTTTTTAATATATATATATATATTGAAGAGCAAGAGCAAGTACAGACTTCCAAGTAGGCATGGGGGAGGGGTCCCTGAACTGACTCCTACGTCGGGAGGGGGCAGAGTCCCCCTGGCTTCTCTTGAGAATTGGAATCTGCCCTCCACACTCACCTGTCCCCTTTCTCCTCACAGGCAAGCGCTTCCAGGAGTGGTGCTGTGTGGTCCTGTGTTTCGGCCTCATCGCCCACAACTTGGTCCACCTCCTGCTGCTGGCCCGCTGGGAGCACACGCCCTTCGTGATGCTGGGTGTCGGTAAGTGCCCGTGGCTCTGTTGCCTGCCTCCGTTTCCACGTACCTAGTGTCTGTGCCCCTCTGATAGCAACGTGTACATGTGCGTACTGCGTGCTCCTGTGTGGGCACACAGAGTCAGTACGTGCTGTGGGAACTCCGCCTCTCATCTCTACCAGCGGCACCTGTCACTTGAGCCAAAATCCTGGGAGTCATCCTTAGCTTCTCTTTCACATTCCACATCCAGAGGATCAGCAAATATTCCTGGTTCCACTTTCAAAATGCATTCAGAATCCAACCATTACTCTTTCCCTGCACTGTCCCCACCCTGGTCCAGCCACCATCCTCTCCCGCCTGGACTGTAGGAGCCTTCTTCCTGGTCTCCCCACTTGCACCTTTGCCTCCATTCCCCCCCCCCCCCCCCCCCCCCGGCTAGAGGGCCCCAGTTAGAACCTCAGTCATGTCATGCCACTCCCCTGCTCTCCCCTGTATATTGAGAATGAAACTCAGGACTCTCTCCCCCTCCCCACATGGGATCTGTTCTGTGGGACTCACTCCTCCTCCCCACATGGGAGTCTATACTTGTTCTTCAATAAATCTCCACCTTTGCTATACAAAAAAAAAAAAAAAGAATGAGGCACCAACTTTTCAGCAGGCCTGGCCCCACCTCCTCCTCAGACCTCATCTCCCTCCACTCTTCTCTGGCTCACCTTGCTCCCTCCACACTGAGCTCTTCACCGTGCCTCTGCCATGGACTGGACACACTCCTACCTCAGGGCCTTTGCATATGCTTTGCCCTGTGCCTGGAACACTTCCTATAGATATCTACATAGTTGATACCTCATTCAATTCTCTGCTCAGACGGAGGTCATCTCTTCAGGAAGCCCCCACTTACTCCTCAAAAATAGCAGTCCTGTCATATACTAGCCCCTCACCCTACTCTTTTACACAATGCTAGAGGATTCGTGCAATAGGCTTTCCTTCCCCTGGCTGCTGACACCCGGGACCCAGGCTGCAGCGGAGACTTACGCCAAACCTTCAGGGGAGGCTTCAGTCTTCACTCTGTCTGCATATGCAAATTACCCCCTATTTTGTTGGTTTGATTTGCATACTCACTCCTGATTATTTGGTGGGCATCATGGAGGTAGGGTCAATTTGCATCTTTCTCTTTTATTAGTGTAGATATTTCTTTATTTGCTTATTATGTGTTTTCTCCTACTCAAATGTGCACTTCTTGGGAGTAGAGATTTTTGTGTGTTTGCCACTATGTCCCTAGCCCCAAGCACAAGACCATGCACAGTAGCTGCTTGATAAATATTTGTTGAATGAATGAGTGAGTGAGCAAGCTGCAACTTATTAGTACCTACTGAGTGTTTTCTCCCGGTCAGTCTGCACCCATCCACAGCCTCGGAGTTAGAGGCTACAGTTGTCATCATTTTTCAGTTGAGGAAACAGCTCTGAGAATGGACTGGCTCAGAGTCATACACACCTCAAGCCAGAAGCACAACACAGTTCTTTTTTTTTTTTTTTTTTTTATTGATTATTTTACAGAGAGGAAGAGAGAGGGACAGAGAGCTAGAAACATCGATGAGAGAGAATCATCGATCAGCTGCCTCCCGCACACCCCCCACTGGGGATGTGCGCGCAACCAAGGTACATGCTCCTGACCGGAATCGAACTCGGGACCCCCCCCCAGTCCGCAGGCCGACACTTTATCCACTGAGCCAAACCGGTTTTGGCACAACCTAGTTCTTAAGTAACTGTTTCCACTTGTATCGTTCACTCCCACAATCTCATAAAAGCATTCTGGCCACCTAAGCCAGTAGTGCTCAGGCTAAATAAGCCATCAGAGTCTGGGGTAGGAGTGAACATGTGCTGGGGGGCCAGGCCAGCTGGAGGGGAGACTAATCCATCCATCCAGCGGTGGGGAGCCTGGGCCCCCCTCATAGGAGCCAGATGCCCAGGAGTGAGCGGGACCTGCACCTCCAGCCTCTCATTCAGAGGCAGTAATGCAGACAGTGTGAGCCCTAAAGCCCCATCTGAGGTGGCTACAAGCAGGCTCCTGCAGACCTGGGCTCATGTCCCGGCTCCACCACCTCTCGGCTGTGTGGCTTTAGGCAGGTGTCATTGCTTCTCTGAGCCTCCTTTTCCACATCTTTTAAGTAAAGCTGCCCACAGTCCTTGCCTCCTAGAGCTAGTGTGAGGGCAAAAGGCAGGTGTGCATAACTGCTGAGAGGGCCAGTGACTGAGCAGAGGGGTGGAAGGCCCACTCACCAGGGCTTGGGCCTCTGCCTCAGTGGCCAGTTTAAAGGTGGATATTTCCTGAGTGCCTGCGAGGCCAGGCCCCAGGCTGGGCACTTTTAACTCTCGGTGGCAGCCTAGTGAGTAGCCAGGAGACTTGCCCATTGGCCCTCACCCAGGCAGCAGCAGCGTCTGGGATCACGTATTCAGATCTGCGTGGCTCCCGAACCAGGGACTAACTATGCAGCCACCAGTTAGCACTGAGAGGAGAGGGCGTTCTAGACAGGGGGCCCCGCTTGGGCAAAGAATCAGCAGCCTCCAAGCCTATGTGTGTGTCATCTGGGCCAGGACAGCGGGCATCCGAGGCAGGTGGTCAGTCCCTTCCAGGGTTAGGCCCAGGCAGCTGCCGGCCCTGGGCCCAGGAGATCTCTGACTGTCCAGTCAGGGCATCTGATTGCAGCTTCCCAATCTCCTACCTTCGCCTCTGGGCTGATAAGAACAGACAATCCCGATAGCAGTGTTTACACAGTGCTTAATCAGTTTAAGCAGCTGCGCTGATTTTTACGTTATCTGCGAAGGATGTAAGGGCACCGTGCCTCCTACGGGGCCCACCCCCGTCCAACATTATCTCCCAGAGGTCCAGGCGCCCCTGCAAGGCCTTTGAAACGAGAAAAAGCAGAAGCATGAAAAGGTGCCCGGTTAAAAAGCGCAACCAGATGGTGCAATGCTGCTGATACAATCACGATAAGGGAGTAGGCGGGGAAGAGTGAGGTCAGCGGCATCTGTGTAGAGACCTGGGAGGTGAGGCACGGGCCTGGCAGATCTCTGTGATGGGTATTCTAGGCAGAGGGAACTGCAGGTGCAAAGGCCCTGAGGCTGCTGTATGTCCGGTGCCTTGGGGGATAAAGAGGAGACCAGGGCTTTTATTCTAAGAGCTGTGAGCAGTCCTTTGTGAGTTTCCCAGGGAAAACGGAGAGGGCAGGGAGCAAGGGCCAGAGAGGAGGCAGCGATGGTGGCCCAGACCTGGGTAGGGCAGAGGAGGTGGTGAGAAGTTGTCATTTTAGGGGTGAGCCGTGAAAGGTGAGCTGCCAGATTGGCTGTGGAGGTGAGAGGGGTGGGGTCAGCGGCTACTCCAGGCGTTTGGCCTGAGAGGGTGAGGCTGAAGGAGCTGGCTTGAGGGCAGATGCGTGAAATGCCTGCTTGCGAGCAAAGGGAGGTTGTCTGTCTAGAAGCGAATTGGAAATCCCAGTGTAGAATCAGGGAAGGCAGCGAGAGATCAGAATCAGGGAGGCCTGGCCTAGCAGCCAGCGTGGCTCGGCTCAGGTTCGTCAGTCTCACGGTTCGATTCCCGGTCAGGGCACATGACCAGGTTGTGGGTTCGATCCTTGGTGTGGGGTGTACAGGAAGAAGCTGATCAAAGATTCTCCCTTTTCATTGATATTTCTCTCTCTCTCCCTGCCTCTCTGAAACCAATAAAAATATATATATATTTTTTTTTCTAATCTGGGAGGTCTGGAGGGTAGAGATGGTGTTTGAAGCTCAGGTGCTGGCAGCGTGCCCCCAGGAGCTGAGTGGGAGCAGAGCCCGAGGCCACTGGTGATTCCAGGTTGGGGATTGGAGGACGAGCCAGCCAAGAGGCGGGAGGCACGGCAGGATTGGGGGGAGGAGAGGAAGAGTATGTGGACTTGTGAGTCGGGCTTTGGAAGAGAGAACAGGAGTTTCTGCCAGACAGACACACAGGAGAGGGTGTTGCAGGTAGGGGTCACAGCGAGTGCAAGGTCAGCAGAGAGGACACAGGTCACATGGCCTCAGGTCATGGCTGGCCCGCTAGGTCAGGTGGAGTCTCTCCATGTGATTCTGAGCTCCACACTGGGGTTTGGCTCAGGACCACAGCCCTCAGCAGTGTCCACTCTGTCTCCATACCAGACAGAGGCGGAGAAGGCCCTGCTGGGTGACTTGTGGGAAGTGGGCCCCCACCAAGAGGCCCAGGTTTGTCTCAGGTCACTCAGTGAGTCAAGGTAGCCTGGAGTGAGCCATCCCTATTCCTACCCCCAGCCCAGTGTCCCGCAGACCGGGAGGTAACCGACCAAAGCCATCCCCAGGGTGAGCCGGCTGCCAGCCGCCACCCCCGGCTGGGACAAAGGAGCTTCTGTGTGCCACCTCTGCCACCCCTGCCCCCGTCAAAGCAGCCTCCGGCAGCAGGCCTGGAGTCTAACAGCGGCCATCCGCAGAGGCCTGGGGAGCATGGAGCCATGTCCTCCCAGATGGGAGACTCACTCTCCCCTGAAGTGATTCCTGACCTCTGTCCTAGCTTACATCCCTCCCGGCTCCGCAGCCCGCATAGGCCCGGTGCTGGTCATGTGACAGGCGACAAGACCAGGGCTCTGAGAGGAGAGAATGTTTAAACCACCAACCGTAGCTACAGCTGGGAGCTCTTACTGTGTCCCAGGGACCATGCTAAGCACTTGGCTTAATGAGCCCATCTCACTAACTTGATTTTAGTTCGGTGAAGTGAGTGCTATTAAAATTCGCATTTCCCAGACTTGAACAGGAAGGTTCAGTGTCGCCCTTAACACCGTGCTGTGGTCTCTGGCCACCTGCTAGGAGCCCTGACTGCCCTGTGGGGCCTGGGCAGTCCTTACCACCATCTCATTTTCTCCTCTGGAAGTCAAGATATGACAGTGCCCATCACAGTACACATGAAGTGAGATAATACACTTTTTTTTTAAATAGACTTTACTTTTAAAACAGTTTTACACCTATTTTTTTTCAGTATGTTTTTATTGATTTTTAGAGATCGAGGAAGGGAAAGAAACATCCGGCAATCCTCCTACTGGGGATCGATCCGCAACCCAGGCGTGTGCCCTGACCAGGAATCAAACCGTGACCTCTTGGTTCATGCGTTGCCACTCAGCCCCTGAGCCGCACTGGCTGGGCTAGGACAGTTTTAGATTTACAGAAAGTGAGCAGATAGTAAAGAGAGTTGCCAAAAACCCCTGTGCCCAGTTCCCCCTGATTAGGATCTTATATCTTACACTAGAGGCCCGGTGCATAAAATTCGTGCACTTCGAAGGCAATGACTCAGCAGTATCACTATACATACTGCGCAGGCACGCCCTTATATATCCCGTTAAGGGTAATGTAACACAGATGTCACTATTTGGCAAGAAGCCTCTTTTGTCTGGGTTAGTATAAAATGTGCTACTGAGCCGATGGCTGGCTGCTTTGTTAGCAATGGCTGCTTTGTCTGCGATAAAGCATGTCCCATATGAGTGCTGCTGTTCTCATTTTCTTCCAGTTCCCAGGGTCTAAAGTGGTCCCATTCTTAGCAGAGGGAGTCGGACCCAACAACTGGCATAGCTAGTTGGCAGAATTCTAAAGTAAATACCCGTCTGGAGAAACCAAGATGCCGGCATAGGGTAGACACCCGAATGCAGCCTACCACAACAAATTTGAATTTAGAACTGAAAAGCAGGGGAGGCATTGCCCTGAAGCGCCAGACAGCTGGCTGAGAGGAGGCTCTGCCATCTGGGAAGGAGAGAGAAGGCACGCTGAACCTCAGGAACTGTGAAGGTACGGAGAACTGTGTGCGTGAAAAGGCGCTGGCTTAATCCCGGTGCGGAGAGGAAGGGCCGGACCGAGATTGCTGCTGGCTTACTCCCTGCATGCAGAGAGGGCGGGCTGGGCTGAGTTCGCTACTGGCTTACTCCTGGCGCAGAGAGGGCGAACAGCTAACGTGGCTGGCTTTCTTGTCCGAGAGGAAAACAGAATCAGCCTATTGCTCTGATAAACGGCCCCAGACAGGGAGAGGCCAGACTGTCAGGCAGTGGGCAGAGATCTCTTGGAGGTGTGTGAAGCCAGAGGCCATTACTGCGGGACTTGGGGAGGAGCTGAAGGGAAAACAAAGTTTGTCTGCACCAACCTGAGACTCCGCCCTACCTGTGGCTGAGCACAGAAGCTCTCCCAGAGGCTGGCTTTCTCTAAGGAGGGACTTGCAGGAATCCAAAGCTTGTCTGCGCCTTTACCAAAGAGGTGTGCGGGCGCCTGCAACCAATCTTCCAAAACTCTCCACGAACAGGACTTTTCTAAGGCGAGACTGACAGGGAACCAAAGATTGTCTGCGCCACCCCGAGACCCCGCCCTATTCAAGCAGAGTACAGAAACCCTCCTAGCTGAGACACTGCTGATCCTCACAGCCAATTGGCTTGGAGATCAACGCTTCCCAGTGATACCAACAATAAGCAAGGCTTAACAACAAGACTGCACACACAGCCCACAAAGGGCTACACCAAGACTGTCCACCGCAGGTAATTGGGAAGGCTGTGCTACTGGGCTCTACCAGAACACCTAGAACACAAAGCTATTCCATCAAATCAGGGAAACAACTAAAATGCAGACAAGAAGGACACAAAGGAAGGAGATGGAGGAAAAGAAAAGATTGGACATTGAGTTCAAAACTACAGTTATAAGGTTATTCAACAATATCCTAAAAATAAATGAGACCTATGAGGATATGAAAAGGGAGCAACTAGAAATAATAAGGGATCAACAAGAAATGAAGAAAACATTGTCTGAAATAAAAAATATTATACAAAATCCTAAAAACAGACTGGAAGATCGCAAGAATCAAGACAAAGATTTAGAACACAAAGAGCCAGAGGACACTCCTCTGCAGAAGGGAGAAGATAAGAGAATCCAGAAAGTTGAAGATAGTGTAAGAAACCTCTGGGACAATTTCAAGCGAAACAACATCAGAATTATGGGGATTCCAGAAGAGAGAGAGCAAGATAACGAAAGAGTACTAGAAGAAATAGTGACAGAAAACTTCCCCCACCTGGGGAAAGAAATAGACTTACAAGTCCAGGAAGCCCGCAGAACCCCAAACAAAAGGAATCCAAGGAGGACCACACCAAGACATATCATAATTAAAATTCCAAGAGCAAAAGACAAAGAGAGAATATTCAAAGCAGCAAGAGAAAAGCAGGTAGTAACCTATAAAGGAGCACCCATAAGATTGTCAGCTGATTTCTCAACAGAAACCATGCAGGCCAGACAGGAATGGCAAGAAATATTCAAGGTGATGAATAGCAAGAACCTACAGCCAAAAATAATTTACCCAGCAAAGCTATCACTCAGAATCAAAGGACAGATAAAGAGCTTCACAAATAAAAAAAAAGCTAAAAGAGTTCATCACCACCAAACCAGAATTATATAAATTGCTGAAGGAGGTTATTTAAGAAGAGGAAGAAGCTAAAGATAAAAATTATGTTCAACAAATATGTAGCTATCAACAAGTGAATCTAAAAACCAAGGGAATTTAAAAATCTGATGAACAATATTAACTGGTGAATATAATAGAATCAGAGGTATGAAAGGGGAGTGGACTGATGATTCTCAGGGAAAAGGGGAGTGGGGGTGCGGGAAGAGACTGAACAAAAACTGTGCACCTATGGATGAGGACAATGGGGGATGGGGAAAGGACAGAGGGTGGGGTGGGAACCTGGTGAAGGGGAGCAATTGAGGGGGAGAAGAGGATCACATTTGTAATAATCTGAACAATAAAGATTTATTAAAAATAAAAAATAAAAAAAAAATAAAGTAAAAAAAAAAAAAATAAAAATAAAAATAAAAATAAAAAAAAATAAAATTCGTGCACTTTTTAACACCTGTAGCACCAGGCGCACGAAAGTGCTCCCGTGTTAACTGTTACCACAAACAAACATTGTTTTTCTGATGCAGGTGCTTCTCCATTTAGGATGGGGTTACAGCCCAGTAAGCTATCACAATTCAAAAATGTACTTATTTCTTTTTAAATATATTTTATTGATTTTTTACAGAGAGGAAGGGGTTGGATAAAGAAAAACATCGATGAGAGAGAAACATCGATTCAGCTGCCTCCTGCACACCCCCTACTGGGGATGTGCCCGCAACCAAGGTACATGCCCCTTGACCAGAATCGAACCAGGGATCCTTGAGTCTGCAGGCTGACACCCTATCCACTGAGCCAAACTGGCTAAAGCTCAAAAATGTATTTAATACACCTAACCTAGTGAACACCATAGTTTAGCCTAGCCCACCTTAAATATGTTTGGGACACTTAACATTAACCTACAATGTTAAGTTTGGGCAAAATCATCACAGAAAGCTTTTTTATAATGAATTGTTAAATGTCATTATTTATTATGTGTATCCCTTTGCACCACTGTAAAGTTGAAAAGTCCTAAGTTGAACCATCATAAGTCAGGGACATCTGTATTGTTTTTATTGTTATTTCTGTCCTCTGGGAGGATTAAATGCTTAGGATGATTACAGATGAGGTGTGTAACCAGCTTAGCACTGGCCTTGGTACAGTGTAGGGATTTAAAAAGTTAAAACATTTAAGGTGCTGGCATAGGGCCTCGTACTTAAAGTATCCAACAAATGTCAAGTAAAAATAAGCAGCTGAAATCTTCACCCAAAAGAAATGGGGCTTATGTCTACACACAGGTTTATAGATGGACATTTTCCCAGACATTCAGGTATGACATTTATTTTTTTTTTAAATATATTTTATTGATTTTTTACAGAGAGGAAGAGTTAGAAACATCAATCAGCTGCTTCTTGCACACTCTCTATTGGGGATATGCCCACAACCAAGG